TAAATCAGTAACAATTTGGCTTATTAAAGTCTTATAATATTCTTCTTTTTCCACTAAATTGGGTGTAACCTTTGCCCTAAGTCCAGCAATTTCTTTTTCTTTTTTAGCCCTTTCATCCAAATAAATTTCCAATTCTGCTTTTCTTGATTCAATACCAAGTAAATATTTATAGTCAGATTCATAAAATAAAACATCTTCAAATTGACTAACAACTTTATCAATTGGTTTATTATAATCAATTTCATTAACCAATTGATAAGAAACAGAGTTAGTTCTTTGTTCTGTTAATAAAGATTTAAATAGAGCACGTCCATCAGGAGTTAAATCTATAGTTTCAGTTTTTATCTTGTCCTTAGACTTTTTTCAATTATTCAATAACTCAGCAGTATTTTGAAGAAGTGTTTTATCCAAAGTACTATTAGGTTTTAAAAGGGCACTATCAAAGATAACCTTTTCTTCAGGTTTAAGAGGACCATCATGATATTTTGAGTATTCTTTAGCTTCATCTATTGTATTGATATCAATTTTTTTGAATGTCATGATTTTAATTACTATATTATATTTTAGTATTAATATTATTAAAAGATTAAATATAAAGAATTTAATAGAACAAACAAAAACTAATAAAGTAATAAAATTTGCAATTGACTGAAATATTTTTATTCACTATCAGGATAGATTGGTTTGGGACAAGTAATATCCTTGAATTCATCTCTAACAAATAGGCGAATATTATGATAAAGATATTCTTGCCTTTTGTAATCCAAAGGAGAGGGAGTTAGAACTAAAATGGAAAAAGATTTAATTTCGTTGGTAATTTCAGAAACACTTGCTTTTCTGGTTTTCAATAAATTAAATTCAGTGTACGAACCATTAGCAACCAGCTGGGTTTTGACAATTCCGGGTCGAGCTGCTTCGAATACAAAATGCTGATATTTTTGTAACCCACTCAATTTTTTAAAGAAAATTCCCAACACAGAATTAAGATCTAAATATTGAAAACCTTTTCCATTTTCGTAGCACTGAGCCTTGTTTAATCCTGCTGTGCTCGAATTTTTCACAACCTTAACAATATGATCCACATAATCTACTGTTGTCTTTCTATAGAGCTTTTTAATCAGTCCGAAACTACCATCACATTTGAATTTAGTATGTCCTGGTACCATAAAATTTAATTCGATGCTTTCATAATAGCCGCAAATTACTAAATATAGATAAAATCAAATGGTAGCATTATTTTTATTCTGTCCGCCCGCGTTATCACAAGTAATCTTTAGATGTTTTTCACCTTTATTCAATCGTTTAATTCCATCAAATACCATGCTCAGCGTACCATTAGGACCCTTGCCAATAATTTCGTCTTCATCAAGAACGTAATTAATTTGCTCGCGTACTGCTTCATCTTGGATACCAAACAAATGCACCTTCCGAGCACTAAGGTAAAACACTTTGCCGATCTGTTGATCTGAATGGGGCACATGGACATTTTGGGCTCAGTCATAACTATAGTGGGCAACTGCATCAGTATTGCAGTAGGGTATCTTGCTTTTGACCAGCGAATAATTTTGGTCGACGAGCTTTCTATGTTCTTCCGCCAACTTGGTATTTTTATTATAGTAGTTTCGCTCTAACTTGGCCTTGGTTAGATGTTCTTTATATTTCTTCAATAGATCTTGAGCCTCTTCCTCTTTACGAACTTTAAATTGCAAGTCATTCCGCAACTGCTGACAGGTATCGCATAAATCAGTTCGGGGGCTCATGATTTGAATGTAAGGAGTTAGTTGATGCCATAACTTGCGGAACGCATCATATTTGAGGGCACGTAATTTACTGTCTTCTTCTAGACTGGCCAAAAAGTCCCGGTGAACAGATTTATAGCTCATTTCTGCTGGTAGAAAGATAATGGATTGGGTTACGCGATTAACATTTCTAACCGGGCAAAGGTTACACCCAATTTAGTGGAAAAAGAAGAATATTATAAGACTTTAATAAGCCAAATTGTTACTGATTTA